CAGTGGTCTCCAAAGGCCTTGGTGGTGAAGACCTCCCTCAGTGTTACAGAGTTTGAGTGCTGGATCTTCTTCCACATGTCGACCAGCATCATGCACTTGGTGTTAACGAGGCGGAAACCTGATCACATTTTAAAGATGCAAACATACAAACAATTAAAAATCATTCACTATCACAAAATACTGTGCCACAGACAGATACGGCAACAACTAGGCCACAACCCACACATTTAGAGTTTTTTCTGACTGAAGAGTTGTACATGTCCTGCACTGATTATCCAAAGTAACAAATAAGCCTTGTAATCAAGTGAGCTTGTGTTTATTGCACAACAGTGATGCTATATTTTACTTTGAAAGAAGGGTGGAACTAATGTTGCTTTCTTGATGTTTCAACACCTTACAGATTTACACAATTACATCATTTCCCACCGTGGCTATTTGGGTTCTGTGACATCTGCATTTTGCTTCTTTGAAAGACTATTTCTCACCATGTATCCTCCTTAGGCAGTAAGGCAGGTCATCCTTGCTGTTGACGGCCTTGTAGCAGGAAGTGATGTAGCTGAAGTTGCTGGTCTTCTGCATGCGGTTTGGTGGTGGTAGAGGCTCGAGGGGGAACAGGCTGTGGTAGCTGTCCACTTCAGACGGTACATCTGTAAAGACAAAACACATGTGGAAATACCCACACAAACTAAAAAACATGTTACACCCTTACACACAACCATAATAAAAACCAACCCCAAAAGAGACTCAACGTTTGTTTAAGCCAGCACTGCTAATTTGTTCACGTGTGAACACCGACAACAGAGCCTCAAAACACTCTCATTTGATATGAAGATTTTTTTAGATTTGTTTTATTGCCAGCCTGTCGTGTTCTGCTGCACATGCATAAATTATCAAATCAAAAACACACCTTTGTTGTGTCAACAGAGAAGACCTTTTACCTGGGTTTTCTGAGTGGTCAATCTGGGCCATGGTTATCAGATGTCTGTTTATTAACTCCTGAAGAAGAAACAGGGAGGCACACATCAAAAATTACCTCCAGAGAAGAGGACAATGGGGATGTTTGTGAGAAATTAGGAGGGCGATTGGGTAATACCTGTCGAAGCTCATCAGCCATGAAGAAGGATGGGGCATTTGCTTTCGGCTGCATGTAAGCCACATGGGGTGCGGTGGGGGGGTAGATATGGTAAGTAGGAAACACCTGTGATGAAACCAGAAAAACACAGCTTCCTATTTATTGAGAAATGAAAACCAATGTGATCGCACATGTAGAACCTTTCCCAGACAAGAAGCATTTAGTTACATGAAAGGGTTGAAACAAAACTGTGAGTTAGATACATAACAATGGAATAAGAATAATTCAAGCAGCAAGCAAACTGAAGCATAGTCTTTAAGAATTAATAATTTAGCCTCAGATCAAGTCATGTTTCAGATTTAAGTTTTCTTAATTATAATCATTTTCTACAAACGTCACTGAGTCATATTGCATCTTTGTATGTTTTATGTTGTACTTTACCAGGTTCAGTACAGAAATATTTCTTGACATACCATCCCCGCCATTGGTGCTGGGGTGTTGTCTGTGTAGAAGTAGGTAGTCCCCCCTACAGTTTCTTTCTGAATAATGTGAGCACCCTGGTCCGATGCAGTGGTGGGCACCATGTAGTTAGCAGGGTTTGGGGTATGACTGCGCCGACGAGGGGCAGGGGAGGTGTGCGGCGTAATTTTTGGGGAGTGTAGAGGAGAAGAGCCTGCAGACAAGGACATGCCTGCAATTGAAAAGAGGAGGAAATATTATTTTCAGAAAAATACAAGCAGCAATAACTGTCTGCAATCAATTAAAATGTTTGAAAGAAACGCTAAAGCAAAACAGATTTTTGTTTCAACAGCAGCACATGTGGTGCTTTATACAGGAACTCCCATGTTTGCTGAACTATAACTAAGCGAAAGTTGGAAAACAAAACTGATACAGTAAAAAGTGGAGCACAGCAGGTATAGAAGGGTGATTTTTCAGTTGGTAGTTCTACCCCAAAAAACCCACCTGGAGCCAGTGCAGCAGCTGTGGAACTGCTGAGACCAGGATGTGGAAAGAGAGGCGAGGGGAAGGCCTGGACATTGGACTGTGCCATGGTGGCCATACGTGGAGCTCCCTTAGGGATGAACTCACTCGCTGCTGGGTTAGGAGCCTGGTGGTGAAAAAAGATGCAAGAATTCCATGAAATCTAAAACTGCTGTCAGAGACAAAACTAAGCCGGAAAATGCATCATAGTTAAGTTTTTTGTACATGCTCATACAACAAGTTCTGTATTGAACTTCAAACGCACTTTGAGGTCATTTTGATTTCTTCAAAGTGAGTGCTTGTGTGCTCACCTTTCTCCTTTGGGAAATGCTAAGAGCACCAAAATCACTGAAGAGTGAGGATGTCGGTGAATTCACTGGATCTGTGAAAGGCCATGGAGTATTAAGACTTGAGCAGTGGTGCTTACAATATTCAGTGGTAGAGTGCTGACTGCTGCTTCACAGAGCACTGTGGGAGGCTCACCGTGAGTGCTGTGGCTGAAGTTCTTGGCACCGTCATTGAGGAGACTGGGGGAGCTGCTGCTGGTAGTCATTCGCTGAAGAGAGCACCAACCAGAACAGTTATCACCATTAATTACTGTTGTGATAAAATGTGTGAAAACAGGTTCAACTAACCACATAATATCCATATACATTAAATCGACTATTGTAGAGCCTCCGTTTATCTGAAGCAGTCTTTATCACACTGTGTGTTTACACGGTTTATATATCTACAGATTCCCTCTTGTACCTGCATCATCGAATATTTAGACTCTGCTGGGCTTCCAAACCCATTGACCCCAATGAAGCTGCTGCTGAAGTAAGAGTTGGTAAGACTGGCATCGCTCAGGGTTGCACCCTCCATCCCTGGGACTGTGGAGGACAGAAACAAAAGTTCAACCTGTAATATTTGCTGCAATACCTGAAATAACTAAAGCCTAAAGGTTCAGACATCAACAGCAAAGTTATCACTACTGAATGTTTGCTTAGCAAATCACATCAGACATTAGAGAGCATGTGAATATTTTCTGCAGGGAGAGTTGTACATGCTGACACAGGGCGATATTAAGTTTGGAGAGGGACAAACTTTTAAACTGCAACTGCCACTTTTCAGGGATTCAGGTTAAAATGGACGTGAGCAGCTTTTTACAGCAAAGCTGCAGGTGAATGTTAGTAACTTGTTATTACTTGACGTTGGGAAAAGACAACACAAAACAAAGCCCCGTGGACAGCCAGCTTAGCTAAGCTAATGTTAGCAAACATTAAAACTCACGTCTTTATAGAAACACTATAGTTCACGTGATCAAATATAAACTGGGATAAAAATGATGGCACCAATGCTGAGACTTGCAAAGTCTCACCGGAGACAAAGTCTAATAAACTTAGGTTACTTAAAAACAGTTTAATGCAAATGTAGCTAACGCTAGCTGGCTAATAGCTGCACTAGCTCGCGGATTTGTGCCCACTCACAGCTGTCACACAGAAACAGCAGGCCTCCAGTGTAAGCTGCAGCAGCATGGCTAAAGTTAGATGTTATTATCAAGCACAACTGCAACTACCTGAAGACTATCCACAACACAGCCGAGGAGAGCAGAGTGCGCTGGTTGCATACCGAGAGGTTTGGATCATGCTTGGCAGAGAAATGTAACCCACGTTGTTTTGGGGTGATGAGGCCTCCATGAGTCCTCGGGCTAAATTTTTACACAGCCCCACAAGGCCCAAAAGTAAAGTCACAGTCAGTCAGTCCATGTGAGGCCTCGTAATGCTGTTATTACTACTCACTGGTTAACAGCTGTCCCTCCAGCGACGTGCTTGCAGGCCCCAACGTTTCGCTCTTTTTGGACACTCCGGTCCCGCCGGAACCCGGGCAGGCCGCCGCGGAGCCACTGAGGGGATACCCCGCTGGCGTCCCGCCACCCCCGGCCATAGACATCGGGACGGGGCTACTGCCGCCACCGTGCAGCGGCAGGCTTGTCATGGACGGATCCTCGTGCAGAAATTGACACTCTTCTCCATAAAAGCACGTCTTGTCTTTCGCATAGTATCGGCAGAACTTCACCTTGACATTGGGTATCCCGGCACCCCCGAGCGGAGCAGCTGAAGCTGGGAGTCCACTGTTCATGGCACCGCTGCCGCTGCCGCCGCCGCCGCTGCTGCCGGAAGACACTCAAACATAGAGAGACGCAGATAGCTAGCGAGCTAGCCAGCTAGCCTGCAAACAGTTTCAACTTAAAGGAACGTGTTAATATGACTCCAGCTGCTGGAGAACGCTTTAGAGCCGACAGTACTCACATTATAAGGCTATGGTTCATTTTGGTTTAAGAAGATACGAGTGCATGTGTGAGATCCAGGTCGTCGTTGTTGTCGTTATCCATGCAGCTGCCTCCTGCTCAGAGTAGCCTGTTGTTGTTTTTGCTCACAGTGGAGCGTCTCGGCTACAGTTAGCATAGCTTTGCATTGTGGGTACAGAGAGTTCCCTGCTGCAGATGCAACATGAGAGAAGTTAAAGAGGGAGAATTAAAGCGGATCCTGGAGCTGCGGGAGTTCACGTCTGTTTAACAACGTTTGCAGGATTCAAATCATGAATTCAGTTTCCAGTTCACATATTTTAGATCGTGTCAGCTGCAGGGGGGTTATTACTACATTACAAATAAAAACCAGATGCATGAGAGCAGAGCACCAGAATAATAAAGGATACACTCGACAGTTTAATTAATACTATCAACGATAAATTATTTAAAGTAATTACTTTAGTTTTGTAATGTCTCGTGATATAATATGATATATCTTACATCCTGAGTATTCTCTATAGAAAAAAAAACATGCAAACCTCTCAGCCACAGTGTGTTTCTTTTATTTTATTTCTCCTCCACAACTTCTCAGAATAATTATTTTTATATTATAGTAGAATGAAATTTGCTTCCTCTGCAAACCCATGGAGTGTTTTATGATTGTTTTGTCACAGCTGCAAAAGTGCCATGCATTGTAACGCACCGTTTACAGTTAGGTCAAATATAAAAAATAAAACAAATATTGCACGGTTCCCTGGAGGTCCACTTTGACCACTTCACTTACAGGATTAGAGGCGCAACTAGACTGTTAACTGTTGACGTCACTACTTCCAGTTCCTCTGTTTAAAAGGTGCTTGAACTCAACTGGTTCATCAAAGTGTGAGTCAGTGATGAGGATGTGAGCAGAGCATCAGTGTGGAGGCAGACAAACACAAACATGACTGCAGGTAATCTAATCAGTTTTAAAAGTTCATTTCATATACTTTTTATATCATTACAAGCATATCCATACCCATTTGCATTAAATATTCAATGTACAGTACGCACAATTTTGTATATATTTCATATTTTATTTTATTTTTTATTTTTAATCTTATATGCTATATTTCTACATTTTACTTGGAGCAATTGTAACAATTTCCCTGATTCTGATGATGGCTGTGCGTGTGTGTGTGTGTGTTTGTGTGTGTGTGTGTATAGACACATGTGTTGTGTTCTCCGTTTTTAAACTTGTTGTATGTAATGTATATATTTCTGTTCAATATATAGAGATATTTAATTTTGTATTTAATGTATGTATGCATATGTGTATCTATATATCAAACACAAATATATGTTATATATATGTTATGTTCCGTTTTTAAACCTGAGCCGCATTCTATGTTATGAAAAATGCGTGATAAAAAAAGTTTTGGGATATAAATATAGAGATAAATATAGAGATATATAAAGATATTTCATGTAGTTTGTTAATCAATAAGTCGAAGTCGTGAAAAGAAAAAAAACAATTTATAAATTAATTTATCTTCACAACAGTGTTAGGTTCTAAAAAAAGGTTTCCATGAGACCTGTTTTCATATTAGCATTTATATATGCTTATGTACATATACATTAAATGCCTTTTTCAAATTTGTAAAAATATTAACATACATTTATTTGTATAAACATTTTTATATTTAATAAAGTTTCTCTCTTTCAAGCTGTTCTCCTGCTCTGTGTTGTCGGGGTTCTCTGCTCAGCCATCCTGTCAGCACAGAATCTCTCATGTGTCCCCAGTCATGAGGTAACAGCTGCCATGATCCTCATGTTTAACGAAATATTTATTTTGTGGTATACTCCTATTGATGTGAATGGAATGAGAATGTGCATGATTACCATGGTCTAAAGGAGATTGCACTCTAGGTTCTACAAAGTACAATGCAACTTTAAGATTTTAGGATTTAATTTAAGATGAATTAAGATTAAGATATTTGATCTTGTATAAAGTAACATGTTGTTGGTATGAGTGTCACCAAGTGTCTCTGTCCTCCCACTAAAGAGACATACTCTGAATATCTTTTAGAGAACATAATTTACTTAGCAACAGAAAAAAAAGGTTGTAAAACATCAGCGAGGGAAACGGCACAAACATGACTAATTCTGCTCTGTTTCATTTCTGTTTATCAGAACATAAATAAAAAGTGGATAGTTTCAAGCCCCCTTACAGGACTCTGCTTGAAGTGAGTGTTGAATTCTGATTCTGAGTGTCTGATTCAGGTGGCATGTCTGGAGCCAGCTAATTACCTGAAGACATCTGGAGCTGTCAGTGTAGACGTGTGCGCTGGTATGAAACTCATGGTTTCACTGCAGGGCCTCAGTGGATACTCTGTCTGTCACTGGATCAGAGGAGAACGCGTCGTAATGACAGTGTAAGTGAATGCTGTGTGTGTGTGTTCAGGTGTGTTTCCCTATTTTGAGTAAGTCTGATTAAACTGAAGGGTTTTCATTCACTTTACCCAAAAAAGGAGAGACTCGATTGTCCCACCACAACCTTCTGAGGCTGGTCCTGGGGAGTACACACTGAGCTGTGAAACCAGTAATGGGACCAGCTCCTCTGTGACTGTGTCTGTACGTGAATTAAAGGGTGAGTTTAAGTCTGGGCGGCATCTGACGTACAGAATGTCTGAGATGTTCATGTTTTGTCAATTCACCGTCATCTTCCAAGATTTAACAGATTCTGCTTTTCAATTTACCATTTACATTAAGTGACAGTCCAATGTGCCAACTGCTGCTCAGAAACATAATGCCAGGTTAGCAAGTTAGTAACCTGTGAGCCTGGTATGTTTACATGCATTGCAATGATTTTATTTTGTTTGCTCATCTTACAGTCTTTATGTCCTCTCTACAATGCACAGTTCACACTACAACAACACAAGGCTGCAGCAGATAAATCAGTGAAAGTAAAACTAATATTTCGCTTTATATTTTTTCTAGAGCGTCCAACCAAACCACAGCTGATGCTGCAGGACGTCAAAGATCGAAATTGGTCTCCTAACTTTGCCTGCATCTCTGAAGGCTGTCCAAAGCCTACAATCAAATGGTTTGGGTAAGATGTTAATTCAGAGTGAGTGTGTATCTAAAATCATCCCATCATAGCATGATTTGATTTTCTGAATAATCCTGCTTCGTCTTGTTTTTGAACAGAAATAAAGTTGGAATAAATGGTCCTGCAAACAGTGAGAGAAGGGCAGAGAGCAAAATATCAAGTACTAAATACGTGGCTGGAAGAATGATGTGCTGTGCCACTAATGAAGAAGGACAAGAGTGCTCCCAACTTTATCACTATGGTAATTAAATATTTAAACAAATGAATTAAATGCACTCTACAAAATATTAATCAACAATAATTAATCGCAGAATGTAGCTCATTTTCTCAGTTTTGGTCTTAAACCACCTGAAAAAGTTGGAGGATAAGTGGTTTGCAGTTAAGGGATTATTTAGAATTTCAGACGTAGCAAACAATCAAATAGATGATCAAATGTGTCATGTGACTCGATGTTGTTGTTTACTGTGTCTTTCAGATCTAGAGCGAGAGCAAATGGAAAATGAGTTTTACAATGTGACAGTGAGTCCCGGTCAGTCTTTACTCCTTCGCTCTCGGATACAAGAGTATAGACCTCCATCACCTGTGTGGGAGAAAGGTGGCAAACTACTAGACGCCAGCACGCTAAATTGCTCTTCTACAGTCGAGAAGGTGATGTGATAGTCCACTCACACAAACTAGAGTTTCCTTAAATTTACTCTGTTTATGTTTGTCTTAAAACTAACCCATCATATTTGAATACTCCTTAGTCTGAAACACAAATCAGAAATGACTGTAACGACCTTCACCCTTCATGTTGTATGTTTTGATTGCAGATCTGCATTAAAAATGACTTCCATTTTGAAAATGGATTTGCCTACCTATTCATCAAGTCAGTCAGTGCAGAAGACGGTGGAACATACACCTGCAGGAGTCCGAAACACAAAACTAAGTCTGTCTACATTCACGTCCAGGGTTAGTAGAGCTAATCTAACTGTTACAAATGAATAATTCTCAACGCTTCCAGTTCCCTCACGTTAACCATCTGTTCCTGTCCTGTTTTTATTCTGTGTTGCCTCAGCTGAAGGTTTCCTCTCTGTCCAGTTGGATAAGCGTAAGATCGTTCCAGCTCTGAACGCCTCCAGCTCCTGTTTGCAAGCCAATGTTTCCTACCACCCTGTGCTCCAGAGTTGCTTCTGGGAGGCTCCTGATAAAACCATTAGGAAATGCAGCACAGACGAATGGGTGACGAAACACAGGTGAAGTGATGTCCAAATATGTTGTCATGACAACCTAAAAAAACATACAAAAGAGGTCTTTTCATGAGCAACAGTTATCGATAGGCAAACTTGATATGAGGTATACAATTAAGGAGGCACAGCTTTGTGTGTAAATTTGACTGCATGTGACTTGTGGGGCAGCTGTGGCCCAGGAGGAAGAGAGGGTTGTCCACCTACCAGAAGGTCGTTGGTTTTATCCACAGCTCCTCCATAAGACTAGAACAGCTCTATATAAATATAGTTTATTTACCATGTACTACAACACTGTTTGGTCAGGAGTGTGCAGCTCTGCAATTCACTAAAACCTGGAGATTACAAGTTACACTTGGAGGCTGGAGGACAAAAAGAAACAAAGACCATATCAGTGTGTGTTGTCGGTAAGTGACATTCATTGTGCACATCTGCTGTTTCTTTAATAACAATTATTATTATAATGTTACCTTTGAACAACTCTTTCAGTGTCTTTTATTTTACAGTTTTAAATGGCACAAAGCTTATAAATCTACTCATTTTTGTTTCAGATGCACCAAAGTTCAGTTTTGGCTTCAGCAAAATGAATAATACGGTCACCTTTGAGGCTGTGAGTCTTGTGCCAGCAAATTATACCTGGAATTTTTGTTCTTCAGAGAATGGCAGGTATGATCACTATCAGAGGCGTTGTAGCCCTAATGTGCACATCATGTTTCGTAAAGTTATTTTCATTAAATAAATGTAATGGACACAGACACACTCTGATTAAGACTCTTTTCTTTCAGCTGTGAAGCAGAATCTTCCTGGACAAACATCCCCGATACCTTTCAAGCAGACTCTGACGTTTCCTGTAACAAAACAACCAAGAGCTCACTGAGAAGTGACCAAGCGTCTGGACAATATATAAGGTTCTGCCTCACAAACTCAGTTGGCTCCTGGTGCTCGAACTCGATATACAACCCACCTTCACACCAGGCCTCCACAGGTAGATCTAGTTCACATTTCAGAATAAGTTGTTAAATTACCTTGTTTTTTAAAGACACTGATGTCATTAGAAACTTTTTTGTTTTTAGGTGCCAAACCTACAGAGAACAACATGGTGCTGCTGAAAGTCGGCAGCTTCTTCCTGCTTCTGGCTTTGGCAGTAGTCAGTGTGGCTCTCATGTACTTTGTGAAAAAGAAGGTATATGTTAATAATAATAATAATAATGATGATAATAATATCTTGAATTTATATAGCACCTTTCAAGAGACCCAAGGACGTTTTACATGTGTCAGTGGGGACAAAAAGAGAAAAGAAACTACACATTCACATGCACACAAACTCACAGAAACACATGATGACATGAATAAAACCCCCTTCATGCTTCTAATAGAAACCCCAGTATCAGCCCCAGCTGCAGATGATCCAGATGGTTGGACCCAGCGACAACGATTACATCTACATCAATTTCAAGGACTTTGAATACGACCAGAAATGGGAGTTTCCTAGGGAGAATCTGGAGCTGGGTATGAATCACACCAGACATGAAACACAAAGGATCAGATCCTCAATTAAAAGTACCAAATAATCAATGTGAAAATACCTCAACATTAGTAAGAGCCCTGTATTTAAATTCCTACTCAACTAAAAGTAGACGAATTATTCATAATATCTAAATTAACCTTAAGTATTGAAACTAAAGGCAGGAGTTTTGCAAAAAGACAAACTGTTAACACATGCATTGGTGTTACATCCACCAAGGAGGGTATGTTTTTGTCTGTTAGTTTGCCTGTTAGTTACAGGATTATGAAAGAACTACTGGATGGATTTCCATGAAACTTGGTGGATCGAACTCAGTAAAGTTTGGTGCAGAAACAAACATATTTAGAGGACTGATATCTATGAGTTAGAAGAGTAGAAGTATAAATTAGAATTAAATAGAAAAGCTCAAGTAAAGCTAATTACCTCACTAACTGCACTTAAATATGCTTTGCTGCAGAATTAGTTTAAAGTTAATTAAAATGAAATCATTCACAGTGTTTTTCTCTGTCATGTGCAGGTAATGAACTGGGCTCTGGAGCGTTTGGCATGGTGGTCCGAGCTACAGCCTATGGCATCAACAAGCCTGGGGTGTCACAGCAGGTGGCTGTCAAGATGCTGAAAGGTCAGTGGTTCACACACTTACTCCATGAGGGAAAAGTGAAATGTTAAGGAGGTCATTTCAGTGCCTGATGTGATGTCTGACGTTGCAGAGAAACACCAGACGATGGAGAAGGAGGCGTTGATGTCAGAGCTCAAGATGCTGACTCACATCGGTCACCACGGAAACATTGTTAACCTGCTTGGCGCTTGCACCGATTTAGGTAAAATTACCACTGATACTTGGACCCATACACAACAAATTGTATCACAATATCACATGATGAGTGATTTTGGCTCAAGGCATCTGTGTATTATTGCTAATAATAATAATTATTATTATTATTTTTTGTTTTTCGCTATATAGGACCCATATACCTGATTTTCCAGTACTGCTGTCATGGAGACCTGCTGAACTACCTAAAGAACAACAGTGAGCGTTATCACAAGTCTGTGACTGATGCCTTCAACAATGACCGTTTCAGCAGCTTGTACAACAACCTGCAGCCTCGCAAAAGCCACAGGTGGGAACCACACACACTCCATGGTGGGAACATAATACAGTTTAGTGAAGCCGTCAGCACAAGAGAGATCGAACATAGAGTTTCTATGTAGGTGCAGATCTGCTGGAAGTCTAGTTTAATGTTATAAAATCTCACATCTTAATTTTTATTTTCACAGTGAGCTGCAAACAGCAATGGACAGTTATGTGCCCATGTATCGTGCTGCCACCAGGGGGCAGGAAGACATCGCCCTCAGCTCAGGTGACATGGATGTTTACGAAGGTCAGAAAACACCTCATGAGAAGAGAGCATGCTTGTTACTTTTTTCAGCTGATGAACTCAAATATGAACACGGAGAGTGCACATGGTCTGATCTGTGTTGATTGTAAATCATCTCTTTCTAATGTGCAAACCCAGAGATGTATGCAAACCAAGATGATCAGACCGAGGAGCTGCAAGCCCTGACTTTTGATGACCTGCTGAGCTTTGCCTTCCAAGTGGCCAAGGGCATGGAGTTCCTCTCCTCCAAGAATGTAAGAGACAAATCTGCCACATCTGTCAAACCTACGCTCCCTTTTCAGTTTCCATATTGTACTGATACACAACATTACAAGAGATAAAGTCATTGTTCAATAAAGAGATGATTCCATAGACAAGATTGACAGATGTTTTGGATAATCAAGTAATTGTTAATGTTTCATTTAAGCAAAATTACCAAATGACAAGTTTCTGCTTCTCAGTTTGAATTTTTTAACATTTATTTAATAATCATAATTTTTTATATTATTATTTGTATGACTTGAAAACGAATAATGAATAACCTGGGGGTTTCAACCTGTTGATCAAACCGACTAAGTGCTTGAAAGACATCAACTTGGGTTTCGAAAAAAAATATTTTAGTATTACATTTTAGATCTAACTATCAAAACAGAAAATAATCAGTAATTAATGATTAAATATTTTAGTTGCAGCACCACTAGTCTTTGTATGTGTTATGTGTTATGTGTTGTGTGAGTGAATATACTCCATCCGGTCCTGTCTACCTGCAGTGTCTCCACCGAGACCTGGCAGCTCGCAACGTATTAGTGACAAAAGGCCGACTGGTGAAGATTGGTGACTTTGGTTTGGCCCGGGACATCGACAATGACTGCAACTACGTCGTGAGAGGAAATGTATGTGAAACAATGACATCATCATCTATTACTTCTTGCACATCATGCGACAATTGACTTGACTTTGTCGTCCCTCAGGTGCGTTTACCAGTGAAGTGGATGGCACCAGAGAGCATCTTTCATGGGATGTACACCATGAAGAGTGACGTCTGGGCCTACGGCATCCTGCTCTGGGAGATATTCTCACTCGGTAGCTTTCACAGTTGAATACTCTCCATGAGCTGCACTTTGAAAATAGCTCGCGCAACAATACGAAACATGAAATCTCCTTTTATTTGTTGGTTTCAGGTGTCACTCCGTATCCCGGGATGAAGGTGGATCACGCGTTCTATTCAATGATTGAGAGAGGATTCAAGATGGAGTGTCCGTACTACGCCAATGAGTCTGTGTGGGTGTCCGCATTGACACTGTACAACACAGAACTGATATTTCAATAATCTGCCCAATAATTACAAAGAAAGGGAAAAAACAATAAAATACAGTATATAAAAGAGAGTATACTGGATGCTGGTGGAGGTTTTTTACAACATAGATTGTACCTGCAATGAACATCTTCTAGATATTTGTACTTTACTTTACTATTTGTATTTTATATTTCGACTTTACTACATTTCAGAGCGATAGTTTGTGCAGTGCAGTAAGAATATTCCAGTCTGTCTCTTTTCAACAGCTTCATAGTACTATGTATACAACTTTTTTTTGCTTGTCTTTGTCCTGCAGGTACGGGATGATGTGTAAGTGTTGGGCCCTGGATCCCTGTGACCGTCCTACTTTCTCCAAACTGGTGTCATTCATGTGTGAGCAGCTGATGGACAGAGAGGAGAAGGTGGGTCTGCAAAGCAAGGTCAATATATTTTGTGCATTTAGAATCTATACTTGAAGCAGAGTTTAAGCTGTTAGCTCTACCTAACCAACCTCCTTCCCCTCTCAGCTCTACCACAACATCCTTGACCAGACGTCCAGCGATTACCAGAATGCACTGACCGTATTGGACATTTCTGCCTCTGCAAAGCAGGAGGAGAAGAAGACGCAGTCAGTGAATGACTACTGTCAAATCCAAGCAGCCCAAGAGAGCAAAGCAGAAATGTCCGACACTGTGGCAGCTCAGGAGAAACTTTTGAAGCCATCGGATACAGAGTGATCGCCTCTAACTGAATGGAATTTGTCAAAAACTGTTTATACAATATTCTTCCTCTCATTATAACCCCACAAGTTACAGAAGATAGTTCTTGTCTTTGTAAATTAATAAAATATAGTGGAATCACACATGTTCTCAAATAAACTGAACATACATTTTAATTGTGCTTTGCATTCAAATTTCAGCTAATTACCATGAAAACAAGCTCCGAACGTAAATACAGTATTTGTTTTATTCTATCATGTTTTATTGTGCAGCTAAAAATTAAAGAGACAGTTTTCAGAAAAGGATCCTAAATATTCTCTTGGCAATAATGAAGACATGTAAGCTATGACTTCACAGGTTTATAAACTGGAGTCACTGATCAACTTTTGCTATCAAATTGTACTATATATATATGTATACAACATGGCAACAACCCCTTGTCTTAAAATATTGCAATGATTTTGTTGTGCTCTTATTCTTGTATCAGCAGCTACATGGGGTTTAAATCCCATTTTTGTACACATTTATATTTTTACATTTATTGACATGTTTTGGCATAGTACCTGCAATAAAATGTACTTTACATATTAAATAATAAAAAAACTAAAAATGATTGCAATGCATGTTTGTCCTTCCCAAATGATTTGACTGTCGAGCTTGTGAACTGTTAAAATGAAGTCGTTTGATTGAACTTATGGTTGAACCATCAACAGCCCGCTTTCATTTGAGTAGTTTCTAAATGATTAAGAGGAATAACTACTCAGTATTTCATAACAAAATAAAAGCAAAGAGGATTGAGAAAGTCTCAATTTTAGGAGTGACAAGTTGTTTCCCTTCTCTCCGCTCAGTCATCTTGTGACCTCTGGTGGAGCTGGAGAACTACTGTAAGCTAATGTCTATAAAGATGGACGACATGAGTGATGTCCAAAGTCTCTCTGTCATCGCCTGGTGGCTGTCTGCAGCACAGGTTGTACATCTCACTGTACTTAATGTGTTTCCACTTGACATCACTTCCTCTGACCCCTGTGGTCAGGTTTATAGGTTGTTATAAACAGGCTGCATCAAAAACATTTATTTTTTTACGACTCGTGTACCATCATTTCAAAATACGATCATTGGGAACCTCAGGTGCGACACTTCCGCATTTCCCAGGTGGGCGACTCGTGCTCTGCTTAGACCTCATGCGCATGCGCGTAGGTCATGTTACCTGGAGAGAAGTGAACTCTTCGTTCGGTAAAAGAGTAAAACTATTCTTGTTTGAACTGTGCGTCGGTGGCAACGTAAGTTCTCATCACTTATACCCGATGTTACGTTTCACTGTACTACGACACTGGTTGTTGATATTATATTTTGATTAGAAGCTCGTGTGGTAATTAGCAGGCTATTAGCTTAGCACCGGAAGACTGAGCTGAGAGAACGTGTGTGATCCAGCTCATGTGCTTCACCTCGTCATTTCTGTGAGCGCCTGTTTAATGAAAAGTTGTGATAGAGCCAGGATCTGTCACTTTGCTCAGAGGAGCGCTTCATTCATCAGTGCTGTGTCCAGTGCTCCTTTTTTGGCCCTTGCGTTTCAGCTCTTCAGCAAACTCGTCTCCTCAACATCACATGACATGACAATAATAAATGATTAACCACAGCTAGGCGTGAGGGGCCTTGTTCTGTGTCCACCAGTGCATTGACCTCGGTGGAGTTCAGAGACTGTCCGTGCAACCGGTGAGGAACCACACACCCACGTGGACATGGACATCAGCAAGGTGAACGCGCTGTCTTATGAGGATTTTGTGGATATTTTTGGTAACGTGGTGGAGAAATGTCCCATCATAGCCGCTGCAGTGTGGTCCAGGCGTCCCTTTGTGAGCTTGTCTGCTTTGGAGACTGCGTTCAGTGAATTCGTCGATGCTCTGCCAGAGTCAGGTAAGACACACGCCTTCAGTTTTGTAAATATTTTCTCGTGATTGTGTTTGGTGGCTCTTTTGAGTGGCATACAAATGGCATCTATTCTGTGCGTAATGGCACAAATAGACATTACATGAACAATCCAGAGCAATAATCAGTCACTGTGTGTCCAGGTAAAGAGGGCATCCTCAGGTGTCACCCTGACCTCGCGGGCAGGGACCTCCAGAGGGGCACCCTGACCAGAGAGTCGCTTGAGGAGCAGGCAGGAGCCGGACTGGACGCACTGGAGTCTGCTGAAGCCTCGCGCATGGCCCAGCTCAACGAGGAGTACAAAGAACGGTACAGGTTCCCGTTCGTCATCTGCGCCCGCATGAACGACAAGACAAACATTTTACGTCAGCTGTCTGAGCGCTGTCAGAACGAGTGCACGGTGGAGAGGGCACACAGCATCGAGGAAGTGAAGAAGATCTGCCACCTGCGTCTCCAAGACCTTGTGTGCCATGACGCACCAAACAAGTTGTGACTTTGATTCACTGCGGAATCTTTCCTGCTCCGGTCTAAATGTTGTCATTACTATCAAACATTTACATGGTGGTGATACTTGTTGTATTCCAAATGTAAGTGTGCTTCTCATTCATCACACTGTGAGCTTTTTGGAGAATAAAACATGTTGATCATTGATTTACACATTGCATGATGGAGGCTTGTTTACACATGGAGCTCAGCTCATCCACTAACCAGAGGGTCAGGGGTTTGATCCCAGTCACTCTGATTCTGCATGCCAAAGTGTCCTTGGGCAAGATTCTGTTTGAGTGATAGAGAAAGTGCTGCGCATGGATGCACTTTATGAATGTGTGTGTTAATGGCTGGGTGGCAAAACTGTACTGTAAAGTGACTACATAAACAACGTGCAACAGTTTGTGCAACTGAATATATGTTTCTGTCTCTATTAACTGAGAGGTGGGTAGAAGCAGTGTCCCTTCAGTCCAGATGTGACACACTGTGATATCTGTTACTGGTGTTAAAGCAGATCTTAGTTGAAAGAGGATAGAATGTGGTTTTAATCAGTTTTTTTTTAAATTATTTATATGTGAGAAGTGCAATATCCCAATGTCATAAGTAGGATGCAAATATACCTATACCAACCTGACCCAATAATGCGGAATCGCAATTGGAACAAAGTTTACATCTAATTATTGTTTTACACAGTAACTAAAACTGAAAAATGTGTATCGGGTACATAGAGTAAAAAAGATACTGTAATTTAGAATTATGATTCATAGTTTAGAGGTCATATAAAGAAATCAAATGCAAAACCAAATGTTTTTTTCATTTATTATTCAAGGATTTTAATCCACAAATCAATGTGAGTTAATATTAAATGTTTATAGTAGAAATAAAACAACTCCAGGTCCTGAATGCCTCAATGCTCTTTGGGCTAACTTCTATTTCAGATTTCATCCACCAGGTGTCACCATTGCTCACAGCAGCTACAGACCAACTTGGTGAGTAGTAAGCGTCACAAATCTTTAACACTATTTAAAAAATTGAAATATTGAAATTTCCTAGTTATAAAAAAACAAAACCATGACTTGAGAAACTTGTGAGGTAAGAAATCCTCTTTGAAAGCCCTCGCTGACTAAAACTACAATATACTGACTTTTTAAATTGTTACATTCAATGTATATTTTTTTCCACTTCCCATGTGCAATATCACTGTGAATTACTGGTATCCTTGTATAGTGTTTACATTTTTCTATATATTGATATATATATGTCTATATATATGTATATTTTTATGTTTACATACAATAATGTCAGCATGGCCACGCCCTTAAGTACATGCATAGTTAATATGCATGTATTTAAGCCTTAAAGTAAATTAAACATGAGTTGCATGAATATTCACACCCACTGAATGCGGAAATTATTCAAAGACTCACCAGGCTTTAAATATGTGTATTTCTGCAGTGAAGTGTTACCATGTGCGTCTATGGGTGTTGGCTTTTGAATTAGGGAACTATGGGAATTACAAGGGGTTGGCATTGGCTTCAGTTTTCAGTGTCAAAGGTCATCGCTTGGCGTCACCAGGTCTCTTAACCTTGTTTCCTCTCTGGTCCACAGCTGTTGAATGATCAGAAGGTTGATTTGTAACAAGCTGGAGTTTCCTGTGATCTCCTCCACTCTCCTGCTGACCTGCTCTCACTTTATCACTTTAACTAATGAACACAAACACTCATCTCACCTTATCAGAACCTGATCAGTACCTGAAGTTTACTTGGTGTTTGTTTGATTGGCTCCAGAGTTTATGAAAAAGGAGTTGTCAATATTTTACTGTTCATTACAAGACGAGATGTGAGGCACACAGTCAGGACTCAGTGTCAAAGTGACCAGAGGATCTGGATTTGTGATCCAACACCATCAATTAAAGGTCCAGTGTGTAAGATTTAGGTGAAAGGGAACTATTGGCAGAAATTTCATGTGGAATAATTCTGATGTTTTCACGACAATTGAAGGCTACCACAGTTTCTTTTTCATGTTTGGAAGGGGAGGGTGAGGTGAGGGGTGTTCAGCTGCAACATAAAATTTCAACACTAGATATCACAAAATTCTACACACTGTACCTTTAAAAACACATGATTGTTTGTCATCTAAATCATCCCAATAAAAGATGGATCAAATGAACGTGAACTAGTTCATTTTTGGAGCCGTGAACTTACTTTAAATTGTTTTAAAAATTATGAGCGCGAACTTGTTCATGTTCATCTGTATGAACTGAGCTCAGTTATTTCTGTGTGAACTGGCACGACAATGATCACAGGAGTGATGAACCACGATCTCCAAAGAACATGAACTGGCACAGAGAATCGAATTTGAGGATGCAGTTAAGACTTTTGCAGTGGTGAAGGCCCGCTGTGTTCTCAAGCTTGATTTGCTCTCTAGTCGTTGTTTGCATTGTTGATGAAACATGCACATAAGAAAAGTGATGTGCGCTGGTATCTTTTAGTTTGAGTAGCTGAAATTTGATTTTTTGGGGGAAAACAGTTATGTGTTGCCATGACTCGTGATATGGATCCACAAAATGCCCATATTGAGTACACTAGCGTTGCACTAGTGCACTAGAACTTAATGTTTATGGCATATGAGTGTTTGTGTGTTGTTGCTGGTATGGCTCGTTGCCAATAGAGGGGTGGTATGATTTATTTTTTTAACCTAAAGCTGCAGGAGAACCGGTCCTACCTGTTGCTAAGTGAATCATAAAGTCACAGACTGCACTGATGCTCCACACAGACATGGACATCAACACAGTGAACACTCTGTCTTATGAGGATTTTGTGAATATTTTTGGTAACGTGGTGGAGAAATTTCCCATTACAGCCGGTGCTGTGTGGTCCAGGCGTCCCTTTGTGAGCTTGTCTGCTTTGGAGACTGCGTTTTGTGAGTTCATCGATGCTCTGCCAGAGTCAGGTGACACACAAACAACTACTTCTTAATAACTGCTTGTCTTATTTTATGATTCTACCCCACTGAAAAGTTTAGTGGCACTTTAAGGGCGTTTAGTGCATATAGATGGCATGTACTCTGTGCGTAATGGCGCAGATCGAGATTATATTAACAGACCTGAGTCATCGTGTGTGTCCAGGTAAAGAAGGCCTCCTTAGGTG